ATTGTGGGGTTGTTAACCAATGTCATAAAACAGCATGTGTGTTACTGTTACATGAGAAACTATCTGTTCTGTAAGCCTTCACCTGAAGTACAATAAAATACTAAAAAAAAAAAAAAAACCACTCATTCCTTCAATCAAGAAATAATTATTGAGACTAGTTTATGCCAGCCGTGTTCTAGGCGCTGGGTACAGAGCAAAGAGAAAGACAGACAAGACCTCTGCTCTTATAGAGCTTAAATTCTGGGGGAGGAACAGGCAGGCCAACAAGTAATATTAGTGACATCGTGAGATAGGAAAACAGGATGACACATCGTGAAGGCTCGAGCGGCTATTAGAGCAGATGGCAGGGAGAGCAATGAGGTGACATTTAAGCTGAGATTATTCCTGGTGGAATAAAATAAAGGAACGAATGAATGAATATGAGTTGTGTTACAACAACAAAAAACCTTATAAATGGCATTGAAAAAGAAAGTCTAAAACCAAAGTGTCAGATAATTCTTAATCCCAAGCAAATAAATAAAACACAAAATGATTTAAGTTAACCTGTAACACTAGTGATGAAAAACAGAAACAGCTAAGAAAACTACTTGAAATGTTTACTTATAAATTTTTACTTACTGAATACAACTAGGTCTTTATTTCAACTCCTAAAACAGGACAGACTGACTATTCTGAAGAAGAGAAAGCAAGTCATTTAAAAACCTTGGTTCAAGTTCAAGAATATCTTGCTGATCAATAAATAATTTTAGAATGATAATTATAGCTTCCTGTCTACTCCCCCTTCATTTGGCTCCTGCTGAGATTAAATACCCATCTCAGTGAGTACTAAGAACTAAGTACTAAGAACCTTAGGCTGTTATTATTTTCCACCCAAAGATTAAGATAATGAGGTTAATTTAAGTAAAGAAGGGAAAAGGGCAGGTGCATTCTCATTTCACATTCTTGGTGGTCAGTGACCTTTCCAGAATAGAAATGATGTGTGCCAGAGCCACAAGCTCTGATCCCTGGGTCCAGCCCTATGAGTCACCATCCCACAGTCACATCCACCAGCACCCATTAGCCGTAGATGCGGAGCAGGAGACTCAAGTTCTCACGTGGGCATGCTTTACTTACTAGGTTGGAACAGGCGCTGTGAATCACAGGCTGATTGGCGAGGGCCATCAAAGACTCCACCATTTCTAACTCCTGCTGGTAAAAGGTTTGCACTCTGTTCTCCACGAGGAATTCTTTGGCTTTTTCACTCAGCAAACACGTGAGGCTGGCGAGGTCCAGGGTGCCTGGATTGCTGTTGGGGGAAAGTTTTGAAAATCCCTGCAGAAAACCATCACCTTTGTTCCTTTTTGGTGTGCATAAAACAGAAATTTAGCTAGAATATGCAACACTATAGGGTCACTATGAGCGAAAATCAACTTGACGGCAACGGATTTGGTTGTTTTTTTTTATAGTCATGCTGGTTTTTGGAAAAAAAGATAATTCATACAGTGAACACTTTGTGGCTGTTTAAAAGGATGAGACAGAACTAAGTGAGCTAACAAAGAGATTCCTGATAAATTAAGAAAGGTATGCAGGGTATGGTCTCATTTTTGTTAAAACTAAATGACAACCCACAAAATACATAGATGAATATACCCTTCTAAGGCAGAACTTAAGCCACACCCGAAGTTCACCTTTCAGCCCAAGATTAGGTAGGCCTATAAAACAAACCATAACACACGTGAGGAACGTGCTTCTTAGTTCAATCAAGCATATGAGGCCAAATGGGCAACACCTGCCCAAAAGCAAAGCCAGAAGGCAGGAAAGGACAGGAAAACTGGACAAACGGAACTGGGGAACTCGGGGAGGAAAGGGCGAGAGTGATGACACAATGCAAGATTGCAACCAATGTCACAAAAAAATTTGTGTATAAATTTTTGAATGAGAAACTAATTTGCTCTGTAAACTTTCACCTAAAATATAATTATACACACACACACACACACACACACATGGGTGAATAGTTATGCTTGTGCATGCACAGGAGAAAAAAAGTCTAATGGGATACACATCAAGCTATGAACAGTGGTAACCTCTGGGAAATGGTACTGGAGACGAAAAAAGGGAAAATAGCAAATTTTACTTTTAACTTTATCCAAGTCTACAGTTTGTACTTAACGTAATTTAAAAATATGTAATATATTGGTCACATGTTAAAAAAAACTAAAGGGTACACAATGAAAAGTCTCCTTTCTATCCCTTCCCTGTCCTCATCCTTCCAATACCCACCCCCTAAGTAGCCACTGTTATTGGTTCTCTGTATCTCCTCCCAGAGTTCCTTTACGCATATACTAACAAATACAAACATATTCTTATTCCTCCTGGGATATTTTCACACTAAAGAGTATGCACTATACACACTGTTCTGCACCTTGCCTTTCACACTTAATAACATGTTTAAACCTTCATAATAAACATGCACTTACAATTAACACGCACGATACTTACAATGGAAACCCTGAGTGGTTAAGAGCTATGGCTGCTAACCAGGAGGCCAGCAGTTTGATCCACTAGGCGCTCCTTGGAGACCCTGTGGGGCAGTTCTACTCTGTCCTATAGTGTCACTATGAGTTGAATCGACTGGATGGGAAAGGGTTTGATTTGTTTTTTTTTTTTTATACTTAGAATGGAGTCCTTGAATGATGCGAGCAGTTAGCAGGTGTTTGGCTGCTAACTGAAAGTTGAAGGCTTGAGTCCACTCAGAGGCACCTCAGAAGAAAAGCCTGGCAATCTACTTCTAAAAAATCAGCCATTGGAAACCTTAGGGAACACAGTTCTACTCTGACACATGGGGTCACCATGAGCCAGAATCAAATGGATGGCAACTGGTGTGTGTGCTATATGCTTACAATTAGAAAAATATTAGCTCAGCTATACACGCTTTTAAATACACCAGATCATTAAATCCACACAATGGGCTATAAAGTTCCCTACAAGGATGTGCACAACCAGCCTCGAATTCTGGACGCCACTCCAAGCAGCTCCGATGGTCCAGGCACTTTTACTTCTAGGTGCTCAGCTCCAGCTAGCTTGTAATGTGGTGAGTGATTTACAAACAGTCATACATTCCTGTGTCATTCACTTTTCATATTTGTCAGGAATAAAGAACACATAACAAGAATATGATTTTAAGATTTTCCTTTAGCAGTGGTTTAAATGTTTTGATAATAATATCCCATCAGTTTTTCTCAACCTCAGCACTTTTGAAATTTTGGACTGGATAATTATTCATTGTGGGGGGCTGTCCTATGAATTGTAGATATTTAGCAACATTACTGACCTCCACCCACTAGATGCCAGTAGCATCCCCCAAACCATGAAAAAAAAAATCTTCAGGCATTCCCAATGTCCCCTGATGGGCTGAGAACCTCTAGTGTCATTTTTCGTAGTTTATTATTATTATTATGTGCCTTGGTATAGTGTTCCTCATGTTTCTTGGGGTTTTGTTGAGCTTCTTGGATCTGTACATTTAGAGTTTTCATGAAATTTGGAAAAATTTCAGCCATTATTTCTTCAAATATTTTTTCTGTGCTCCCACTCCTTCAGGGCCTCCAATTATACATATACTAATTTTCCTCACAATAATCCTTTAATGTTTGTACTATTATCTTCACTTTACAGATGAGAAAAGTGAGTAAGTAGACATTTCAGGATTTGAACCCAGGCCTACCCCAGTATCTGGCTTTACTGCTATAGTCACGTTTTCAGCAGTGATAAGCTATAACTTACCTCAGTGCTTTTTCTTTCTCTAGGGCTGGGCTGTGGAAAGGCTGGTCATAAACTTTCCTGTAGATAACGGGCAGCTCAAGCATCCTTGAAATCTGAATGCTCCACACTGGATCGTCCACTTTATCTAACAAGCCACGGGGGAAATATGCCACAGAAATTACACTAAAATCAGTTCTTTCCCATGCCCAAATTTCTGCTAGGATGACAGGAAATGGGGCACTTAATGGATCTCTTCCATGTGGCAGCCAAGAATCATTACACTCTAGATGCACTAAGTGGTTCCCAGTCATCCTGTGAGATGGAACTAGATCCCCTAAGCATCAAAAGCTTTGCCAGGGAGTGGCTTGGGACTAGGGAAAGCACATTAGCATATTCATTAATCTGTTACTCTGCTGGACAACAGGGGCCTTCTTTGAGATTTCAAGCTAAAAACCAGACAGAGCAGCGCAAAGGGCATCACTCAGATGATGTGGGACTCTCATAGTTCTGATTAGCTGTTCCTTTCAAAGTCAGTGAACTCAATGGTACTCAAGAAATCTCCACCATCTCCAACTCTAGGATTCACTTAGCACCTTTACAAACTCTACTAGGTTATCCAAAATAAAATTAGACAACTACATATATATAGTAGGAGCCCTGGTGGCGTAGTGGTTAAGAGCTACGGCTGCTAACCAAAAGATCAGCATATTGAATCCACCAGCTGCTCACTGGAAACTCTATGGGGCAGTTCTACTCTGTCCTATAGGGTCGCTATGAGACAGAATCTACTTGACAACAATGGGTTTGGTTTTTTGTTTTGCATGATAGTAAGTCAGTCATTTTCTCTTGTAATTAAAACTCTCTTCAAATAAAATTAAGAAATGCTGTTTTTAAAGAAAGCATGTTATGCAATATAATTTCTGCCATTATATAGTTAAATTTTCTTATTTGAACTTTTTGGAAGTTTGACTTTTAGCTAAATAAGAGTTTATTGGACACACACCCAGAATAACAACCAATCTGGCAGAAATATCTTGTGCTTACAATATGCAGTGGCATGAATTTCTCGCTCTTCTCTGTAGGTGCGGACATAGCCTCTGATTCGGATAAGGTCCCCAATTTCTATCTTTGTTCTCTGCTCAATGGTTTCTTGCAACTTCTTAAGCTGTGAGGTTAAGCTCAGATCTCTTGCTGTGCCTGGAGCAGCTGTAGCTGTTTGGGCTGGAAGGAAAGACAGAAATTACAACACAATCCCCATGCAACACTTATGAGGTAGTTTTAGAGTAAGACCAACACAACACTTGATAAAAGGGTACAAAGGAATTTACAGCTAAGTATATATTATCAGAATGTTTTCCAGAAACAAATAATCAAACCATTCCTTTTACATGATGGCACCAGCAATATATGCACACTGATGGCTCCTACACTGGCTTCAGTCATTTAGAACTTTAATAGTTTAACAGATACATAATGTTATCGATTGAAATTATATCCCCCTCAAAGTATGTTTTGCAATCCTGACCTCTATACCTGTGGATGTAATGTAATCACCTTATATCTAATGTAATGTAATGCAATCACTTTCCACAATGCAATCTAATGTAATCAACCAATCAGTTGGGGCCATACCAGTGTAGGGTGGATCCTATACCTAATCACTTCTGAGTTATATAAAGAGTAGCACAGACACAAAGATATGCACTCACACAGGGGAAGACAGATGTCATATGAGGATTGCCAAGGAACCAAAGAGGGAATCTAAATGGCCGAGACCCTGATTTGAACTTTCAGCCTTCAGAACTGTGAGAAAATACATTTCTGTCCTTTAAAGCCACCTACTTGTGGTATTTCTGTTACAGCAGTCCCAGGTAACTAAGATACATAATAATTTCATAAGGTTTTGTTTGGTGCTTAAATTTCAAGAGAGGCTATGTATTTTTTATAAGATGATCTACTCGCTTTCTTTACGCATAAGCTGTTTGTCTCTTTTCAACACTTGATGTTAATTTCTTAAAAGTTTTAGGGAAGCTATATCAGTTATATTTATTACGTATGTTATCCCCATCCTATTGCTTTTTTTCCACCCTTAGGTTTATTTCATTTTATTGCATAAAAGTTTGAAAAAATCTTTTAGTCCATCTGTCTTATAACTGATGATAGCTTTCAGTACTTTAACAGCTAGGCATTTATGGCAGCTTAACATATTTAACCCCATATCAGCTCTGTCTTCTTTAGGTTATTTTACGTAAGGTGCAACACAGGGATCAAAGTTATTCTTTTTTAAATATTATTATCTACACAAACCAACAACATTTGTTAAATGCTGATTTATTTCCCACTGCTGTATTTTTTCTGGTTTATCATATACTACCCACCACCACCAGCTGCTGTCAAGTCTAATTCATGGTGACCTCATGTATGTCAGAGTAGAATTGTGCTCCACAGAGTTTTTAATGATTGATTTTTTGAAAGTTGATCGCCAAGTCTTGCTTTCAAGGTGCCTCTGGGTGAACTCAAACCACCGATTTTTCAGTTAGCAGCTAAGCACATTAACTGTTTGCACCACCCAGGGACTGACTGTTGTCGGTTTTCTGATTTGTCATATACTAGGGTTTCTGTAATAAAGTGACTACCTCTTTTGGTCTGTTGATCAAATTTTCTGTTTTTTAACCTAATACAGTTTTGATAACCATGACTTTGTACTGTACAGAGGCATTAATTTAAATACATCTACCCTGGTGGCGTAGTGGTTAAGAGCTTGACTACTAACCAAAAGGTCGGCAGTTTGAATCCACCAGGTGCTCCCTGGAAACCCTATGGGGCAGCTCCACTCTGTCCTATAAGGTCGCTATAAGTCAGAATCGACTCAGTGGGAACAGGTTTTGTTTTTTGTTTGTTTGTTTTTGGTTTTTTTCTTTTTTTTTCCTATACTAAGGGAAACAGCAACTTAGGGAGCCTGGAGAACTTTGTATATCCAATAACCAATACCTAAGAATCTGGATACAATCAGCACTAATGCTACTCAGCTTACTAGGTTTCTTTAGAAAGGACTAAAGTATCAATTTTTTTAATACTATTTTTTAGAATGCTTTTAGTACAGAAAAATTATGCAGAAAGTACAGAATTCCCATATACCTCCTCTGCCCCCTGCAGGGTTTCCCTTATTAGTAATATCTTCCATTAGTGTGGTAGATTTGTTACAACTGATGAACAAATATGTTGTTGTTGTTAGGTGCCGTCAAGTCGGTTCTGTGTCATAGTGACCCTATGGACAACAGAACGATATACTGCCCAGTCCTGCGCCAGCCTCATGATCATCATTATGCTTGAGTCCACTGTTGCAGCCACTGTGTCCATCCATCTTGTTGAGGGTCTTCCTCTTTTTTGCTGACCCTCTACTTTACCAAGTATGACGTCCTTCTCCAGGAACTGATCCCTCCTGATAACATGTCCAAAGACTATGAACCAACATAAAAAAAACCAAACCCGTTGCTGTGGAGTTGATTCCAACTCATAGCGACCCTATGGGACAGAGTAGTACTGCCCCATAGAGTTTCCAAGGAGCACCTAGTGGATTTGAACTGCTGACCTTTTTTTTTGGTTAGCAGACGTAGCTCTTAGCCACTACATCGCCAGGGTTTCCTGAATCAATATAGATACATTATTATTAACTAAAGTCCAGAGTTTACATTAGGGTTCACTCTTTGTGTTGTACAGTTCTATGGGTTTTGACGAATGCATAATGTCACATATCCACCATTACAGTATCATGCAGAATAGTTTTACTTTCCTTAAAGTACCTTGTGCTTCTTTACCTATTCCCCCATCTCCTTCCCCAAGCCTTGGCCAACCACTGATCTTTTTACCGTCTCTATAGTTTTGCCTTTTCCAGAATGCCATATAGTTGGAATCATACAGAATGACGCAGGAAGCATCAAAAGAAGATGGAAGGAATCACTGTACCAAAAAGAATTGGTCAACATTCAACCATTTCAGGAGGTAGCATATGATCAAGAACGAATGGTAGGGAAGGAAGAAGTCCAAGCTACACTGAAGGCACTGGCAAAAAACAAGGCTCCAGAATTGACGGAGTATCAACTGAGATGTTTCAACAACCAGATGCAGTGCTGGAAGTGCTCACTCGCCTATGCCAAGAAATTTGGAAGGCAGCTACCCGGCCAACCGACTTGAAGAGATCCTATTCCCAAGTCAGGTGATCAAACCGAATGTGGAAATTATCGAACAATATCACTAATATCACACGCAAGTAAAATTTTGCTGAAGATCATTCAAAAGTGGCTGCAGTAGTATATCAACAGGGAACTGCCAGAAATTCAAGCCAGATTCAGAACAGGGTGTGGAACAGGGATATCACTGCTGATGTCAGATGGATCATGGCCAAAAGCAGAAAATACCAGCAAGATGTTTACCTGTGTTTTACTGACTATGAAAAGGCATTCGACTGTGTGGATTGTAACAAATTATGGATAACACTGCGAAGAATGGGAATTCCAGAACACTTAATTGTGCTCATGAGGAACCTGGACATAGATCAAGAGGCAGTCATTCGAAAAGAACAAGGGGATACTGCATGGTTTAAAGTCAGGAAATGTGTGCGTCAGCGCTGTATTGTTTCACCACACTATTCAATCTGTATGCTGAGCAAATAATCTGAGAAGGTGGACTCTGTGAAGAAGAATAGGGCATCAAGATTGGAGAAAGGCTCATTATCAACCTGCCTTATGCTGATGACACAACCTTGCTTGCTGAAAGTGAAGAGGACTTGAAGCACTTATTGATGAAGATCAAAGACTACAGCCTTCAGTGTAGATTACACCTCAACATAAAGAAAACAAAAATCCTCACAACTGGACCAATAAGCAACATCATGATAAAAGGAGAAAAGAATGAAGTTGTCAAGGATTTCATTTTACTTGGATCCACAATCAACACCCATGGAAGCAGCACTCAAGAAATCAAAAGACACATTGCATTGGGAAAATCTGCTGCAAAAGACCTCTTTAAAGTGTTGAAAGGCAAAGATGTCACCTTGAAGACTAAGGTGTGCCTGACCCAAGCCATGGTGTTTTCAATCACCTCATATGCAGGTGAAATCTGGACGATGAATAAGGAAGACCAAAGAAGAATTGATGACTTTGAATTGTGGTGTTGGTGAAAAATATACCATGGGCTGCTAAAAGAATGAACAAATCTCTCTTGGAAGAAGTACAATCAGAATGCTACTTAGAAGCAAGGATGGTGAGACTACGTCTCACATACTTTGGACACGTTATCAGGAGGGATCGGTCCCTGGAGAAGGACATCATGCTTGATAAAGTAAAGGGTCAGCGAAAAAGAGGAAGACCCTCAACAAGATGGACTGACACAGTGGCTGCAGCAATGGGCTCAAGCATAACAGGACTGGGCAGTGTTCCGTTGTGTTGTACATAGGGTCGCCATGAGTCAGAATTGACTCAACAGCACCTAACAAGAACAACAACATGCATTTAAGGTCCTCCATGTCTTTTTCTAGCTTAATAACTCATTTATTTTTATTGCTGCATAATATCCCATTGTATGACTATACCACAGTTTGTTTATCCATTCACCTATTGAAGGATATCTTGGTTGCTTCTAATTTTTGGCAATTATGAATAAAAATGCTATAAGCATTTGGGTGCAGGTTTTTGTGTGGACATAACTTTTCAACTCATCTGGGTAAGTACCTAGGGGCACAACTGCTGGATCCCATGGTAAGCCTATGTTTAGTTTCTTAAAAACTGCCAGACTGTCTTCCATAGTGCCTGTATCATTTTGCATTTCCATCAGCAATGAATGAGAGCTCATGTTGCTCCACGTTCTCACTAGTATTTTGTTTTGTCAGTGTTTTGGATATTAGCCAGTCTAATATACGTGTTGTGATGTCTCATTATAGTTGTAATTTGCATTTCCCTAATGACATGTGATACTGAGTATCTTACGTTTATCTGCCATCTGTATATCTTCTTTGGTGAGGTGTCGATTCAGACTATTTTGCCTGTTTTTTAACTATAATGTTTGTTTTCTTATTGTTGAGTTTTAAGAGTTCTTTATGTATCTTGGATACAAGTCCTTTATCAGATATGTTTTACAAATATTTCTCCCAGTCTGTGGCTTGTCTTTCATTGCCTTAAGAAATATTACGTTTTAAAAGTCTATTCCTTACGTGATAGATGTAT